ACAGATAGATGTTATGACGTAGGCATTCGCTAAGAAAGGATTTTGATAATTTCCACCCCCAAGGGGGTAAAAAAGGGGATGAAAGTTTGTATGAAACTTTGTCAGTTTTTAACTGATCGGGTTGAAATTTGGCATGCAGATAGATGTTATGACGTAAGCATCCGCTGTGAAAGGATTTTGATAATTTCCACCCCCAAGGGGGTAAAAAAGGGGATGAAAGTTTGTATGAGACTTTGTCAGTTTTAAACCGATCGGGTTGTAATTTGGCATGCAGATAGATGTTATGACGTAAGCATCCGCTTTGAAAGGATTTTGATAATTTCCACCAAGGGGGTAAAATAGGGGATGAACGTTTGTGTGAGGCTTTGTCAGTTTTACACCGATCGGGTTGAAATTCGGCGTGCAGATGGATATTATGACGTAAACGTCCCTTTAGAAAGGTTTTTGAACATTCTCACCCCAAAGTATGATACTTTGCCAGTTTTAAATTGATCGGGCTGAGACTTTGCATGCATAAAGTTACTATGACATAGGTATCTCTTTAGAAAGGATTTTGATAAATTCCACCCCTAAGGGGATAAAATAGGGAATGAGAGTTTGTATAAATCTTCTTAGCCGTTGAATTTAGAATCATTGAATCTTTTTGAATTACATTCGGTAAAACGATGATTTGGGACCTGGGTAACGTATGATAGTTTTTTCACAGATGTCTCACGAGAACGGGAACTATGCGTCAATGCCCCAGGACTCTCTAACTCTTAACCACTGAACTTATTCTAGAGAGATTCGGTACAACAATAGTCGATAGAATAGTTTTTATTACTCAAACCTTACGTGATCGGGCACTGTACTGGTAAGATCCCTGCGGGATTATTTATTTATTGAAACTACGATAAATCATTTCAAAATAGGTAAATCTTACTTGGGCACTGAATTGATTCTGGTTAATTCTGTCAGAAGTCATTAATCTACGCGGACGAAGTCGCGGGCAACAGCTATCTACACATATAATAAATCGTAGAAAAGTCAAAACTGTACATTGAATATTTTTTAAAAGAATATTTGAAGCGTGATCTCTAATCGATACCGAAGCCAATAATGTGGTTTTTAGAATTTTTGTCTGTTTGTCTGTATGTATGGCCGTGATGATCTCAAAAAGTACTGCACTACTATTTCAAATTTTGCATGAATATTACTAACAAGTCTGGTAAACATATAGGCTACATATTATCACGCTATCATCTACGGGACTGAATCAATTCTGACGACATCCATTACCGTAGAATATCCCTTGATAAAAACTAATTCAAAAGCCTAAATTCTGCCAGAAGTCATTATTCTACGCGGACGAAGTCGCGGGCAACAGCTAGTAAGCTATAAAACAGCACGCTACGACCACTAGGAGTCGAGCAGAGCGGAAGTAGCTACTCACTAATAAGGTAGCAGTGTGTCATATAAGCCTATGCCAAGCATAGCAATATTCTGTTTATGAATCTTAGAACAATTATATATGTATAAAGGTTACGTAGATTCAGTTGACAGTTTTAAATGGTATAGCCCGGCCGACAGATACCTGATTGTAAGCTATCGGCACTGATACTTTATTAATTGGGCCTCAAGTAACCTCACTCATACGATGAAAAACAACGCAAGCGTAGCTTCACGTCGGTTTTCTGCTCGGCCGTGGTATCACTCCGGTCGAGCCGGCCCATTCGTGCCGAAGCATGGCTCTCGCACACTTAAATGATTTTCATGCGTTTACAGAAAAGTGTTTGGGAGAAGGTTCCAGTATATTAATTAACCGACTTCTAAAAAGAGGGAGTTAAGCTCGGTTTTTTAAGCGTAGTTTATAAAATAATTATTAATGTTTATAAGAGTTTTACCTTTCAGGAAACAAAATGGCGTATTTTTGTATAACAAAGTAATTACTTTACAGCTACTAGTCATGCTCTGTAAACATAATCCATGAACTAAAGATTACAAGTACCTAATCAGTTTACAATACAAGCTGGGCTCGTAAATTACTGGACAGATTATGATAAAGTTTGTTGTTTTCGGTACGTGGATCGCTGTTAGGTAGCAATTTAATATCTATTTAGTACGGTACCTAAAAATATTTCATGTGTTAAATTATTTTATTAATTTATAATGCTTTCTAGACGGGTGTATATCGACCAGACTGGCAATATATTTAAGAAGGGCTGAATTAAAAGTACCGTTAATCGACGAGCATACATGACTGATGACAGTTGATAAAGCGAAAGAAATCTGTGAGTATTGTAGCAATTGGCGTTCCATAGTCTCTGCTTACCCCTATGGGAAGACAGGCGTGAGGTTATATACACTATGTAGGTAGGTAAGTAGTCCTCGTCGAGAAAGAAAGTAGAAAATCCTTCTCATCCTTTTCCATTGTGAAACAAGTGAGTATAATAACCTGGGAGTTTTCAAGGCCCGAGTGAATAGGTTGCTTATGGGACGGCGTGCTCTATCGTAGTCCGCATCATCGGTTATCACCAGGCGAGATAGTGGTCAAACGTCGGCCCATCAAAAATATACAAAAATTAAGTACTATAAACTATAGTTTTGTCCATAGCAAGCAAGGTAATATAATAATTTATGTGAATTTGATCTTTAGGGAACTCCCCGGATTAACTAAGTACCTACTTCAATGAATAATTCATTATCTGTGCTTTGTTTTATTTATTTATTTGTTCGCATTCAAAATGTCTGTAGTCTGTAATATGTTCATGATGAAGTCCAAAACTAGGAACTGATTTTTTTTTTTTACTTCAGAATCTTTTATTTCCTCATTGACCGAGTTGTTGCAAGTGCGACTGACAGAAAGGGGACTAGAGTTCGATTCCCGGGTCGGGCAAGTATTACTGGGTTTTAAAAAAAAAATCTCAGTTGTAGCACGGAGTCTGGAAATGTGCCCGATATATCAATAGGCTCACTCCCTATTACATGGGACTCATGACATAAAATAGTGAAAAGTGGGTGTAACATTGTCCAATGGCATTAAGTGCCGTATGTGCACCTCTGCTTACCCTTCCTGGGGGTAAAAGCCGTGAAGTTATGTATGTATGTCTTTTGTTTCCATAAAATACATTTATATAATATAACGAGAGGAACAAAACAAATAAATAAATACGTACAACTTAAAATATACCTATAGTCAGAATTTTAATTAGTTTCCAGATTTGACAATAGCTACTGTCATTTTGTGAAATAATGATACCACATATAATAGTGTAGTGATGAACACAAAAATCGATAAACAATCAGTGTGTGTGTTTTATAATAAATGTTACAGAGAGTGACAGGATAGCGATAGCAATGACGGCGACAATTTATAAAATAAATTATTACCATAATACATTTCAGATTTTATTTGTCATGTTCCTTCATGATTACATTTATTTAATTATTTCACACACAATTTATAAAAGAAAAGTCTCAGATCGTTAATTAATCCTCAAAACTAAATTATCGGTTTAGAAATATTTAATCTCCTGATACACTTAGTTTACGAGAGTAAAATTATAAATATAAGAATCGATCCAGAAATATTCAATTTCCATATCGAATAATTTCGCAACGTCACTATTTAGTACTTTTCATAACGTTGCAACACTGAAATTGTCAAATCTGGAATCGAATTAAAATTCCGAGTATAGATACTGAATTAATATTAATATATTAACCAACTAGGAAAAGGAGGTTTGTATGCGATTAGCTCTCGATCGGCTGAACCGATTTTGAATAAGCTTACTACAAACTATCAAAAACCATCAGAGTAGACCTCTTTTCCCCCAATACAAGCCATATCAGGAAACGGTCACATATTTAAGTATCACTCGCGATAGGTTACTCAAACATTTCCTTATCAAGCCTTATCAGTACGTACACTGATGCTTATCCATCTCGAGAAAACCAATAATCTACCTTAGAATGTACAAAGAAAATATTCATGTATTGATACGCAGGTCAACCTACACCAAAATGTGATTTCTACAATTGATTTTGAACTTAATCGTTTTGGTCGTAAAGTCAAATTTCTATTGAAGTTTTTGGGGATAGCTTGATGTGCTTGTACCATTCTTTGTAGAATTGTGGGCAATTTAAAATTATTGAGAGTCATGCGTCATTCCTAAGTGCGAATAACAGATTTACTTTTTTACAGCTACGGAATGACTCCTAGTAACAGAATCTCACTGTAGTAACTTAAAGAAAATCTTTATAAATAAATAGTAAATATTCAATAGTCAATCAAAATAATAATTTATTACGCAATATTTCATTTTGTTTTGTCAAGCTTATTTATTGCGCGTGACTTCGTCCGCGAGGTACCTTAAGGTAGCCTACGTTACTGTACTCCTGCCAATATAAATTCTGACAAAATTTCAGTCTAGCTGTCACTAAACATCAAAATTCTGAACGTTACAAATCGGCTTCGAAATCGATTAAAAATAATATTTGATAGATTTTTCCTTATTAAATGCAAGCCGCTTACGCATACCGTAACGACAATTTAAATGAAGTTTTTTTTTTAATATTTACTTTTTTATGAAGTAGGAATACTTTTAATAAATATACATAATGGGTAGGTACCTATTTACTATAATATATTATACATGGACGCATACCATTACGTCCACACAGTTATTTACGTAACAGAATAACAAACGAAGTCACAATTTTGTTTGTCTGTCAAAATTATATGCTGAATTACTGAACCAATTTCTATATAGGAATTTACCAGGTTCTGTTTATTGGTAAACAATTCTATAACTATTAATATAAGGTCGAAAATCGCATGAATAAAACCTGATATTCCATTACAGGTACCAGTAGTCAGTTAAATCGGAACACTTCTAGTCTATTCCCGACTATATTGGCATCTTCCTGCCACCTCCATTAAAAATAAAACTGCAATACACTTCCCTATCACACGATAACCGAGTTTATATCTTAACAATTAAGGTGCAATTTGCAATTACCTTTGACTGCAGCGCCTACCATGAGGAGCACAACACAGAGTATCACTTTCATTTTGCCTCACTATTATAACATAACTTTTTTTAAGTTTATTTTCATTTATTTATATTGTTTTATTAACTCTGTCGACACGTCCGTTCGCGTTGCAATGTGGGGGAACACTAAGCGTTGTAGTGAGTAAACATGTTGATAAAGATGATCTAAGGGTGCGCGTGCACTGCGGTGTAACCGAACAATAACAATTAGTGCGAGTTTTTATTCCACACATTTGGTTCAGGCGATGAGTTCATAGGTTGTAGATTTTTTTGTGAGTATTTGTGCACGGTAAGATGTAGTGCAAGGTTGCATGTCATTTTCTTCGTAGTACAACCGTCAAAAAAATTTGAAAATAAAAATATTTTATATTCCTAAGACAAAAATATGCTTTATAGAATTATTGTCCTCAATATTTTAAATCCTCTGAGTAACCAGAGATATACATAACATACAATTAGGTAAATATGAAATGTCACACTCACTTTTTAATAGATGGGTACATTTGCATCATACGGTACACTGATATAGTACCTATACGTCGCTTAGAACCTAACGGGTAACCGGGGCTCCGGCTCGACGTGCAGGAGTAGGAACGGGGTGGTTTTTAGTCAGTAAGAGTCTGATACTCCCTCCCGCCTCACCCAGGCGGGAGCAGTCATTCGATGATTTTCCCCCCTTAAAAAAAAAATAGTACCTATACAGATTTTTTTATACATTGCCCTACTCAGTGTAGGCCAACGTTTTTGGGAGAAAATCCTAGAATTTTCTTTTGTGTCGTGGGTGAATTTACAAACATACAAGTTCACATACACATGACATCCAAACCCAGAACAAACATTTGCGAATCACACAAATAGTTGCTCCGTGCGGTAATCGAACCCGCACCAACCGTGTGGCCAGATATCGTATTCAGATACAGTCTTATGAAATGAAGTACGAACTTGTACCAAATATCTGGTTATTTCATTCAAATATCTCAAAGTCAGCGTCAGTACATTCGTACTGGGCGAAAAATGTTTAAAATATTCGCTCCTGTTAAAATTTTAGGACGTGAATCACCGCGACACATGGCGAGGCACACGTAGACACGAGACTCAAGCGCTAAGGACCAAATACTTGCGATTATTTGTAGTTATACAGTATAACATAGCTACACAACACCAGTATAAACTGATCTTGGAATGTTCGGCAAGATCATACAAACTGAGACCATGATAAACTGGATTATATAGCTTGATGTGTCGCTGAATGTACTTACTTCACTTAGGTAAATACATGGTCAATGTCACAGCATACGTCATTCTAATCTATTTTCATAAGTACACCCAATAGCATATCAACCTACCTCAATCTATCCAATTTCTTTAAGCAATTTTGTACGTTATTATTCTATGATAAAATCGAAAGTCGATTGAAGGAATTGGATGAATAGCTTCATGTGCGAGCTACAAGAGTACTTCTCTTAATATAATATTAACAATGAATAGATTGATTTACGATCACCGCAATTTTTTCTTGATTTTTTTTCTTTATTTTTATTACGTAGGCATTATTCAATGACGTCATTATGTCTTGAGATGTAGTATGTTGATAGTTTACACATATGTACGCTGTATAAACAGGTTTTTGTCCAGGTTTTGCTTCTGTTTCTTGGTATTGTAGTTGCTACACAGCCTTTGGCTAAGCTTGAATGTGATGAGTGCTATCGTAAGCAAAATGATTGTCCCAAAGTAAAAAAAACCTTTAGTTTTTGCCTTTGTAATTACTGCTCTTTCATCCTCTAGTCGTAATATTTTTTAGTTATAAACAATTAACGTGATAGTAAAGGAGCGTTTAACACCAATTCATCACTTATCATTATATTCATAGGTCTTGTAAGTCTTCTACTGAACTATAGACTACCTCTACAAAAGACAAAAAATGTCGTACGTTATTCTTGTTCTCACCGTTTGGGAAACGAGGTGAAGATCGCAGTTTAACCCTTTGAGTATCGTTAATCATTATAGCCACAATTAAAGAACAATAGGTGTGCGGACACCGGTGTCCTCGCGGTGTTTGACAGTTTAAAAGGATCAAGAGAACTTCAGTTCAATATCTTCAACAAAAGAAACTTGACATGATATTGACCCAAGAATCGGACACCAAACCATGCAACGGTTACTTCGGTAGAAACTAAACCTAGACACATGGACCATGCGCAAAGTATTGGAGAGCCATGCTTCGGCACGAATGGGCCGGCTCGACCGAAGTGATACCACGGCCTCACAGAAAACCGACGTGAAGCAACGCTTGCGTTGTGTTTCGTTGTGTGAGTGAGGGTACCAAAAGCCCAATTATCCCCCCTCGCCCCTCTCTTCCTTAATCCCTGAATCCCAAGAATCCTCAAAAGCAAAGTCAAAATTAAAATCATTTATTTCAATTAGACCAGAAAGGCACTTTTGAACGTCAACAAATTGTCTCAAATTCCTAATCCTCAAAACGCACTTGTAACGCCTCCAGGTGTCCATGGGCGACGCCGATTGCTTACCATCAGGTGATCCATCTGCTCGTTTACCGGCTTATACCATAAAAACCCAAAACGTTGATAGTTAAAGGACTGATGAGTAAAAATCTTTATCATTACCCGGCCACGTGTGTTGGCAGAGAATGTCGTAAACGTGTCAACATAGTTATGTATGTGTAGGTATGTCGGTATAAACAGTGAGAGCGTCTAATTATATATTATGTGAACGAAAGCCACGTGGTGGTGACTGGCGGTGCAGTATGACTTTATGAGTTTCATGATAGACGGTAAACATATTGTACATATAGGTACGAACGTACCTACTATAAATATTATAGGTGATATAGTATGATATATGTAGATACCTATACCTATATATGTATAAAAATGTAATTTAGTTCCTTCTACCTGAATACTCTCTCTTTAAATTGCGCATTTTTACTGTAATTTATTTCAATTAGACCAGGAAGGCACTTTTGAACGTCACAACAAAATATTTAAAAATTAAATAATAAGAAAAAAAATGTCAGTCTGTAGGTCAGTCCTCTAGTGAAGCTATTTGCTAGTTCGAAAGTGTAGATTCCTATGGAGAAGAACGAGCGAGAAATTCCATAGGTTTTTATTAGGTAAGTCGGTAAACGAGCAGATGGATCACCTGATGGTAAGCATTTAGCGTCACCCATGGACACTTGGAACACCAAAGGCATTACAAATGCGTTACCCGCCTTTTAGGGATTAGGATTTTGAGGATTGTTAGGAATTCAGGGATTAGGGAGATTGGGGAGGGAGTAATTAGGCCTCCGGTAACCTCACTCACACGACGATCGAAACACAACACAAGCGTTGTTTCTCGTCGGTCGTTCTATGAGGCCGTAGTATCGGTACGGTCGAGCCGGCCCATTCGTGACGATGACTCTCCAACACTTATACAATATGTTATATATTAGAACTGCGTCTTGGTTTTGGCTGAAAAAGTATTTTAAGTAGTTTTTTATATCTCAAACTGATGGCTTCGACCAGTTATCAGAATAAAAATAGACAAAGTAGAAATGTACTGCCTCGTTGGCCGAGTGGTCGCAAGTGTGACTGCCGGGCAAGGGGTCTCGGGTTCGATTCCCGGGTCGGGCAAAGTGTTACTAGGTTTTTAAAAAATCTCAGTAGTAGCACGGAGTCTGGAAATGTGCCCGATATATGGCAATAGGCTCACCTCCTATTACATGGGACTCTTAACATAAATAGTGAAAAGTGGGTGTTACATTGTACAGTGGCATTAAGTGCCGTAATGTGCACCTCTGCCTACCCCTTCGGGGAAAAAAGGCGTGATGTTATGTTATTTTTAGAAATATATTTATAAGACATAATATTAATAACATTACTATATAATATATATGTATTCATCAATACAAGAGCTTGGAAGGCTAGCTTCCTATGTATTTATTACTCTTTTGCACAGTAGCACTTTTTAGTATGTATTTACTTATCTCATTGAGATAAAACTCAGCAGGCAAATATATATACGTGTAAATAACATTAATTAAAAATCTCAACTAAATTATTACTTCAAGTGAACCGCTATTATGTTTAATACATTCTCATATTAGATATCCATTAACACTATCCATTCGTTTTAAACGATACAAATTAACAGTTAAGGAAAACAAAACCAAATGACACAAGTGGCAGTTGAACTCGTGACTTCTGAGTCATCGTGTCAACTCTGTACTGTTGAGCTATCATGTCAAGACCGTGTCAATTAAATTTCGACATAAGGGACTACATGAATTGACATGGATTGGCCTACAGCGCTCTCTGATGAACCTAATCTTTTTACATTGCGATCTTCAAATAACTTGCCAAGCGAAATTGGAGCAAACCCTTCATTCGGTGAAGACATCTACAGTCTAGTAAGTGATGTTTAGACAATTTTTAATACACTACGTTATAAAACATCGACTTCAACTTTCGACTTCTTTTTATTTACATAACATTACATCACACCTTTTATCCCCGAAGGGGTAGGCAGATTATACCAATGTACAATATAACACCCACTTTGCACTATTTATGTTATGAGTCCCATGTAATAGGGGGTGAGCCTATTGCCATATACCGGGCACAATTCCAGACTCCGTGCTACTACTGAGGATTTTTTTTAAAACCCAGTAATACTTTGCCCGACCCGGGAATCGAACCCGAGACCCCTTGCCCGGCAGTCGCACTTGCGACCACTCGGCCAACGAGGCAGTCTTACGAACTTACTAAAATAAAAAAAATAAAAACCTTAAGTCTAACATGGTGCTCACATATGCATACAGCGAACCTTCATCCATGACACGTTTTTTTTTTGTTTATTTATTTGTTACACATCAGTGTGTAACAACCTTAACATCGCTCGCTACTAATATTTTATCAATGCTTTCTATGTAGTCGTATCTTTATCGAAGTCCTCTGATATGCAGGTAGACTGCTTAATATCAATACGTTTTTTAATGTTTACGTCATCATATACTTACATATAAACATCTGAATAAATAAAAATCAATCACGAAATGTATTAATTCCGCAATTTTCATTGTTGAGCTCAATCATTTTATAAGCTCAAACCAAAAAGTACATAA